TGTATCATATGCTAGGCTCTCCTGCACCAAACATCGATCATTAGCTTTTGCTAAGAACCCCCAGAAACTTATTTTGTCTCTTGACACTGAACCATCTGTATAAATCATCACACATTACCTTAGCGAGAGTACAGATATAAATAGATACATGAAGGGAAGACACATCCAGACAAAATACAATACCTTTGTAAGCAGATGGAATTTATAGTATATTTGAAGTTACCCTGGTAAGTCACGTGACTACGGTGAACTTCTGATGACTAAACACACCAGGATGCATCGAAAGAAACTATGCACATTTCAGTTGGATTTATACAGTTTTTGTGCTTCATTTTTTGTTTATGTAACTCTATAGTAATGCACCTGACGAGATACAGCAAAATATACCAAGCAATAAATTGTGCAATTTATTAATTGTGTCTGCATTATTAAAATTTATTACAGGAAAACATTGTTTTGAGAATACAGTAACTTTTTCAAAACCAAACAATACATCATACTGTCTTAATCATTCCTAAGAAATCTAATGTTGCTGCCTTCTGTCACACAGTCACCGAATTAACCCTTTGTATTTGAATTATTAGTTTCCGGGACATGTCTGGAGAGAATGGTGATGGAGGGTTCCATTTCCAGACAATGAGGCAGAGGCTGACCTCTGCAAATGTGGATACAGGATATTGAAGATGTATTGGCTATGAAAGAAGAGAATCAGAGAATTGGGTAGAGAAAAAGAGACTTTCAAGCATGCCAGGAAGAGATAAGGGCATGCTGAGTGACTGATTGAGAGGTTGGGAAGATTGACCCAGACAACAACTTGCAGAAGTTGGTTATGCCAGCTTGAAGATGCAGATATTGCAACCATGTTGTTAACGGGCACAACAGATTTACATCTTTGGATGAACACAGAAGAAGAAGAACCTTAGTTGAACCAATTCTGCCCTCTGGTTTCTGTGTTTAACTCTTCGGTCCAAAATATTATGGATTATCTAACAGAGATTGATTTACACATTGGCAGCCACATTTCAATATCCAGCACACGTGCTGACAAGCATTATAATTTCCATTGCTTCAAACATTCAGGAAAAACGCTAATACACAATCTCATGCCATATGTTGATAATTCCTGCTTACGCAGAAATGACGATTAACGTCCCAGCATGATAAGCTGAACTTTACTGTGGCATTCAGAATCAGTCTTCTTTTGGGATCTACAGAACTGCACACTCCCTTAGGAGCTTAGTCTTCTAACAGCGTGATGATACGTATTGTTTGCTCTATTCAGTATAGGATTAATTCAGTGCGTGATTTGCATGCGACAGGGGATTTAACAGAGATTAACTTTCAAGTTGAGAGGATCGACTTCATTGCACTGAGTTTTATCCCACAGACTTGGTCTCTGTTTGTAGAATCGCTCGTCAGCGCTGGCCAAGAGTGTCACACAAAGCAGGAACATTTGACTGGTAACACTCCCTAAGGATGTACATAAAAATAATACCAAATGATGCGGCTGTGAAACAAATCCTCAGCCTTCAGCATGAGGCTTGATCACTTTACTACATTGACCCCCTTAAAAGATATCTATGCATGAAAGTCATCCTTGATCCAAACAAAAACTGAATGTATACTTTAATGAAATAGCAATTTCCAAATGAAAGTCTTCCTTGATCTAAACAGAAGCCGAATGTATACTTTAATGAAATAGCAATTTCCAACTATTTGGTTGTTTGTTGCAGGCTTTCTGCGTGAGAAGAGTTCCCATTTTCTCAGATTTGCTGCCCTGATCGATGGGTCAGCAGCATTCGATCCACAAGCCAGCAGAGGGCAATGATCACATTGGCAATGGTAATATTTATGCTGTTTTTGCTTTCAAGGTTTGTAAACAGGTGCATGAACACAGGAGTAAAAACAAGACAGTTTTCAAAATGTCCTGTAGTGCTAAGGCATACAAACATATAAAGAGGAAAAGAGGAAAAGGATCTAGAACCTGAGGTAGAGACAAGAACATGAAAGATGAGATGCAAGGTTCTGGTTCTTGTTCTTCTGGCTGCCTTGACCATAGACCTTTAACATTACAGGGGTTCTCAACCTTCCTAATGCAATGACCCTTTAATACAGTTCCTCGTGTTGTGGTGACCCCCAGCCATAACATTACTTTCGTTACTTCTTCATTGAATATGTGATTACTGATAGTCTTAGGTGACCCTTGTGAAAGGATTGTTTGACCTACAAAAGGGTTGGGAACCGCTGCTGTAGAGTTTCTCAGATAACTAATTAAAAAAAAAATCACAAGACAGGATACTTTGGTCCTGTCAAAGCACATAATACGCTGCTAATGTCTGTGGAAGGAAACATTGAAGGCATGAGAGCTAGAGTATTTCAGACATATAAATGAATGAATAAAATCAGAACTGGTCAAGAGAAGTGATTATCTGCCATGCCAGTAAGGTAGGATGTCATAATTCATCAGCTAACATGATTCTCAGAATCATGGATCAGGTCAGTGTTCCTGGATACAGTTACTGTGTGTGTAGTATACTTTTCTTTTGCTTAATGTTCACAGGCTGCAAACTCAGGCGCAAGCTTTGGTTGTTGTCCACTTCTGGACTTGTGATCTTGTTCCAGAACTGGAGTGCTTATTGCACATTCACTTTACAGATCTGGCTGATTTGTAGGCAGCCTGTTGATTCCTTGCCCTCAGGCAGATGCACTCCAACTTCAAAGGAATGTTGTGTGGGTATAGGGTCCTGGAATCCACATGTGTTGTGTGGGTATGGGGTCCTGGAACCCACACACATTGTGTGGGTATGGGGTCCTAGAACCCACATGTGTTGTGTGGGTATTGTGTCCTGGAACCCACACGTTTTTTTTAATGGGGTCCTGTAACCCACACATGTTGTGTGGGTATGGGATCCTGGAACCGTCACGTGTTGTGTGGGTATGGGGTCCTGGAACCCACACATGTTGTGCGGGTATGGGGTCCTGGAACCCACACATGTTGTGCGGGTATGGGGTCCTGGAACCCACACATGTTGTGCGGGTATGGGGTCCTGGAACCCACACATGTTGTGCGGGTATGGGGTCCTGGAACCTACATGTGTTGTGCGGGTATGGGGTCCTAGAACCCACACATCTTGTGTGGGTATGGGGTCCTGGAACCTACATGTGTTGTGCGGGTATGGGGTCCTAGAACCCACACATCTTGTGTGGGTATGGGGTCCTGGAACCCACATTTGTTGTGTGGAATGGGGTCCTGGAACCCACACATGTGTGGGTATGAGGTCCTGGAACCCACATGTGATGGGTGGGTATGGGAGTCCTGCAACCAACATGTGTTGTGTGGGTATACTGTTTTAACAATAAGCAGTTTTAATACCTGGCTCCCACCTTCTTTTTTTTTCTCTTGTTCACTTCCTCTTTTCCAAAAGATGAAATTTAAATGGCTGTTATTTTTCGATCTGTAGTGCCAGGGCTTCTGCCCTGAAACTTAAAACCATGTAGTTTGTACGGGTAGGGATACACCAAAGTGTTTATCCACTGTTGTCTTCCTTGTGACTGGCATGGATGAGATAACATAACAGTATCCATAAATCTGCAAGAGTTGCAGAGTGGAAGAGGATCTTGAGGACACCCATGGAGCTGCATGAGGCAACCAGATTCAGGAGATAATTCATCTCTGTCTCATTTAAAAGTCGGTGTCTGTGGCTTAGGCGTTGTGAACGAGCTTTGTAATGCCGGGGTGCGGGGTTCAATCCAGCTGCAAGCCTTGCGGTTTTGACAGTGGTATCCAGAAGCCTACTGTCCAGAAAGCAGTGGCAAACTACTGGACATTAAACCAAAACAGCTAAAAAATGCTGGGTTAGGTTCTGTAATGTCATGTACAGAATATTCAACTAACTTGTAACTCATTATAAAAATGTTGAGTAAATAAAACTGATTTTAAAAACCTTTTGCATAAAGAATTTTTTTTTAAAGAAAATTAATTTTAAAAAACTGTTTCCTAAAGACAACTGATTTTAAAATGGCCAGCAAACTGTTGAGTAAAGATAACTGATCAAGACAGACACAGACTGAGAGAAAGAAAAAGAGAGATCTAAAAAAAAAAGAATTTGAATTTTTTAAAAATTTTCTTTTTAGATATTGATGGTAATGTGGAAGTGACTGAGCCAGCAGTTGAAGGCAACACAGAGGACACAGTTGATCTCACTACATCTGAGGTACATAAGGAGATGGAGCAGTGTCTGAAGGAGGAGCCGTTGGTACCAGAAGACCCATACAAGTTGGTGGAAAATGCTATCAAGGTGATGCCAATGTTATTAGCATTCAGATGAGCCTAGGACTGAATTTACAGTTCTTAGGGAATCCCCATCAGTGCCTTATCCTATCAGTGCTCCATCCCCATCAATATCCCATCAGTGCCCCATCCCTATCAGTACCCCATCGTGGCCTATTCCCATCAATGCCACATCCCCATCAGTACCTCATCCCCATAAGTGCCCCGTCCCCATCAGTGCCTTATCACCATCAAGAAAAGATATAAAACCGAACGAAAAGTATATCAGCAAGCTTCACAATATAACAAACACAACGTGAATGTTGCTGCTATGGAACCCTTATCAGCACATACATAAATAAAATAATACCATATAAGTACCAAAAAATCACTTAGCTGATTATCTGGAAGCGGGCAGGTCGATGTCTTGTTAGAAAACTGGCGAGGCATATGGGACCAGAGAATAAATACCCCAGGGAAATTCCAGGGTCATAAAATACCTCATCAGTACCCCATCCCCCATCAGCACCCCATTCCTATAAGTATCCTATCCTCATCAGTACCCTATCCCCATCAGTATCCTATCCCCATCAGTATCCTATCCCCATCAGTACCCTATCCCCATCAGTATCCTATCCCCATCAGTATCCTATCCCTATCAGTACCCTATCCCCATCAGTATCCTATCCCCCTTAGTATCCTATCCCCATCAGTACCCTATCCCCATCAGTATCCTATCCCCATCAGTATCCAATCCCTATCAGTACCCTATCTCCATCAGTATCCTATCCCCATCAGTATCCTATCCCCATCAGTATCCTATCCCCATCAGTATCCTATCCCCATCAGAGTTTAAAATAAAACCAGTGGGGTGGGGTTCTGCTGCAGTCTGACCGACTACCAGCCTGTCTTTCCTTTCTTCTCATTGTTGAGTGTCAGCTAGATCCTCTGGGCAGCTCATGCTGCATCATTCTCTGCAGGCTTTATTCATCTGTTTCTTCCGCACTGTTCAAATGCTGCCCAGGAGCTTGACCACACTGGCCTAGTCCTGCATCAATTGACCACCCAGTAGCAGAAAACCAGCCAATCCATCTGCCTGCTTTTGTCCATAGTTGTTGTCGTTGGCACCTTTTTATCTTTCTGGTCAGTAGTGTTCTACTGTGCTGTGGGGAGGCATGGAAATCACAGCACATGGTGAAGGCGAGTGTGACCAGCAAGACCTACCCGTGTTAAGAAAGGCCTTTATTGCCTTCACATGTATTTAATGTGCTTCTTCTCAGACACTCACATCTCAACCTATCTGCAGTCATTGTTTTCCTTCCCATTCCCTGTCAGATTGTCCTCCTCCAGGCAACGCTGACCTTAGCCTAAACACGATAAGCCCCGTCACCTTCAGAAGGCTAAATGTAGTCAACCTTTCATATGACTTGATTGTCTGGGGGAGGGGAGAGGCACAAGTTTGGGCTCTGGAACTAACACAGGGAAATAAAGTACATTAAACCCATTGAGAAAACAAGGCCTGCTACAAACAGTTCATATGTGTCTAGTAGTACACCAAACACATAATGTTTTCGTCAGCCATGCTAATATATTCAAATGGCTTACCGGCAGTTGAAAGCCCATCTTTGGCTTAATTCCTATCTTTTACTTACTACTGAATGTTGAATTGTTGATTTAAGAATCGACATCACAGCGCTCGGGACACTTCTATAAGTGCTGCATCCCCATCTTCAGCAGCAAGCGAAGAGTTCCAATTACGATGGCACCAGTTCTTTTACTTACTGAGTTTGATATCTTTTATGTTTATGTTTCTTCCATTTAATAATTTCTGTTTAATTCATTTGCTGTATGTTCAAGTACTGTATTTTCTTTCAAACTTTTACTGTGTTTTGTCTCTTTCAATAAAAAATATAAAAAATTACAATACATCCTTCCCAGTAAAGACAGGGATGTGTTATGTCATCTCTCCCCTTCAACCTTGTGATTCATTGGATACTAAAGAACACAGTAGACATGACATTGAGAGGTGTATGATGGACTCCATTCACCATGCTTGAGGACCTTGATTTTGCAGATGATATAGCACTCCTATCACATAAACATGAACATATACAAGAAAAAAGTAACAGACTACACAGCACAGCAGAAATAGTGGGACTGAGAATAAATACAAAGAAAACTAAGATCATGACAAGCAATCCAAACCAACAACCAGTGACCATAAATAACCAAACTCTTGAAAATGTAGAACATTTACATATCTTGGCAGTATGGTGTCCCTGCCTGGAGGGACCGAAGAGGGCATACAGTCACGTCTGAACAAAGCTAGAGCTGCTTTTGAAAGGATGAGGCAAATCTGGAAATCCAACAATTACTGCAGAGGAACGAAACTGCGACTCTACAAGAGCATTATTTTGCCAGTTCTTCTTTATGGAGCAGAATGCTGGAGAATGACTAAAAAGGATGCACACAAGCTGTCCACCTTCCACCACACATGTCTACATAGTCTTATCAAATTTTCTGGCCAGATACAATCCCAAACACTAAACTACTTCAAGTCACAAACCAAGAAACTTTAGACAGTATGATAACCAAGAGAAGGTGGAAATGGCTTGGCCACGTTAGGAGAATGAATCCTGATTTACTCGCCAAAACAGCTCTCACATGGACACCAGAGGGAAAGAGAAAACAGGGGCGCCCAAAAACAACATGGAGACGAACGATGGAAAGTGACCTGAGTGCGGCATCTTTGATGGAAAACTGCACTGAAGATTGCACAGGACAGGAACGCATGGAAATTCCTCTCTGAAGCCTCATGTGCCACTAGGCATAACGAGAACTGATGACTGATGATGGTCTCTTTCAGCTAGTTCAATTGGTATAATTTACGCTACAGGTTCTCGTGGACTTACAGTCAAGGTCCATTCCAACCAACAGGTCATAATTTGAACTGGTCTTAAGTCGAATTTATATTTTTAAATACTATTTTCATTCCAACGAGTTATACAAATTTTGCATAAAACAAGCACCCAAATACAATCAATTTACATACAATTATTGTACAGAATTTAAAATTAAACAAAATTAAAAACAAATTACATAAAATGAACTTGATGGTATCAGTTCCAGAAATTTTTTGACCGTACCGGTGAAATTTTTTTAAATTGACTATTTTTATTTATTTGTCTTTCGTGATCATAATGGCAGATGGTTTAAGTCCTTTAATCGTAAGTCGAGGAATAGGTGTATTAAGGTTCTGATACTCAGTCCATATATTTTTTAAATTCTAAGTCTTGAATACCTACCTGGAAACTACTTTTCCCTATTCTAAATGAAAATAAATTCTGACTTTCAGTAATGACCCCTTTCATCATCAGCATAAAAAAGTGTTTTCTATCACTGGAGGCTACTCAACCGTACGTCACAGCTTGCGAAGACGAGGCTGGGTGGAGAAGTTCTACCACATTCCGTTTTCACCCAAGAAAACTTGTGTGATCATTGGTCAGAAGTACGGAGCTGATATTTCCGATGTGTTTTGTGAGGATGATAGCAGCTATGACGACTTCAATGATGATAAAAATGCTATAGATAGTAAGTTATCTTTTTTTTTTTCCATTGTAGATGTTACACCTGAGTTTTCTAAGTGCACTTGTGATGATTTTCACCTATACGAAAATCTGACTCTTCTGTCACAGAAACTTGTGGCATTATTTCACTCATTACAACCCTTTTGCCCTGAGAAGCATCAGAACCGGCAGCACTTCGGGTCTGTGCCATAGCCCTGCAAATGCCACTAAACTGGCTTGGCTTTAGTGAATTATTTATGAGAATCCTACCAAAGGATTTGTATAGTAGCGGATCTTTGCTTGCGCTGTGAATATCTGTTGTGTAGAACCAAAATGTTTAGTAGGTCCGCCATTGGCTAAAGTAGCTAGAAATATCTGCTAATCGGCACATTATTACTATTATTGTTACTGTGTTAACAAAAGAGTTACCTGACAGTATCCTTAAAAAAATTTTTTTTTCCTCAGGTCAGTGATAAATTTGAAGAAAAAAATTAATTGATCTACACTTTTAATTTTTTTTTTTTAAATAAATGAAGATATACATAGGGAGTTATCTGTCAGTAAACATGAAAAAGTGAAGCATTAAATGGAATACTTTTTTTTAGGTGCCTAACAAACAGTATATATATATATATATGTGTGTGTGTGTGTATGTGTGTGTGTGTGTGTGTGTGTGTGTGTGTGTGTGTGTGTGTGGTGTGTGTGTGTGTGTGCGTGCGTGTGTGCGTGCGTGCGTGCGTGCGTGCGTGCGTGCGTGCGTGCGTGCGTGCGTGCGTGTGTGTGTGCGTGTGTTTGTGTGTGTGTGTGGTGTGGGTGTGTGTGTGGGTGTGTGGTGTGTGGTGGGGTGTGGTGTGGTGGGCACGTGTGTGTGTGTGTGTGTGTGTGTGTGTTTGTGTGTGTGTGTGTGTGTGTGGGGGGGTGGGTGCGGGGGGGTGGGTGTGTGTGTGTTTGTTTGTTTGTTTGTTTGTTCGGTGACCCATGCCACGACCCCTGACCTCTATCACATTTGACATCAACTTGGCGTTCTAAAAGCTATTTGTTTCTCAGGAAAACCCCCTGTATGCTTTATTTTTGTTTTAAGCTAATGTATTCATAACCTGAGCCCCTGAGCGTTTACGTAGGTGCAAATTCAGTCCATAAAATTAACTGTGTTTTTCTCATAAACGTCACTGTAGAAAAGTTGGACACATGACATTTACATGGATTTGGACATAATTAGATGTGCTGGATTTGGGGTTTTTCAGAGTGACAGGGTTAAATCAGGATTAGGCCGTACCCCTCTTCCTACTTCTGCTCTGTCCTGTGTCTTCTAGGGCCAGGAATGCAGCAAATGATTGATCTGTGCATAAGTGGCAGTCAAAGAAGGATCATTGGGAAGAATAACCCCAGCAACACATGACTGCAGAAGTCGGATGTTTCAGCCGAAAGTGCAAATATTGCAGCCATGTTGTAAACGGGCACATTTACTTTTTCGGATGAATGCAGAAGAAGAAGAAAATCACAGACACAGCTTATCGTGAAGATATGATTTTTTTTTCTTACTTTTGTGATGTTTATCTTTCAGATGATCACCCAAAAATACCACCTTGGGAGGAGGACGGTGGGATATACGGAGAAATGGTATGCACATTTATATACAGCGATACATTGTTTCATGCCACCATGGAACAGTAAGGGAAGTAAAAAATTTCAGCAATATAGCCTTCCATGTTTGTCATAAGAGACTGCTAGAAATAGATTTATGTGAGACCTTATCCCGTGGAAAACTTGAGTAACAAAATCCAACCAATAATTAACAAGTGGATAAAATAAGTAAAGAATAAAAATTTGTGTGGCTTTTGCTAACCCAGAAATTAGGTAGTAATGGGGGTGGCTTCACCAGGGCTTTTTTTCTTTAAAAAATGAAATGTTAGTACCCACCACATGTTGTCTAAAAAGAAAAGCTGCTGGTACTCAAGGCATCTATTCCGGTAGCATTAAAAACAAAATGATGCATACAAATTTGCCAGTACTGTGTTCGTGTATGCCCACAAAAAAAAAAAAAAACCTACACTATAAATGAAGAAAAATGTAGAATTTTTCACACAGAACTCCAACAAAGAATCATTCTCAAAGACAATATATATATATGTATATTGTGAGGATCCATATATATATATATATATATATATATATATATATATATATATATATATATATATATATATATATATATATATATATATATATATATATATATATATATATATATATATATATATATATATATATATATATATTGCCAGATGAGGAAACATAAAAGCAATTTAATTAGTTTATTTAAAGAAATTTAATTATCAGATAATGACGGTAAAGATGTTTTAACTTAAAACAACAGCAAAGGATTTATGACTCATCTTGAAAATAAACATTTATCAAATATTGACAGTAAACAGAATTATGTCTCTCAATGACCACAAATAATTTGTTTTAATTTTGACAGTAATAAAAGTAATTATGTCTCTCATTGACAAATATAATTATGTCTCTCACTGGCCAACAAATTTTTTTTTTTTTACATTGATAATAAAGGGATTAGTCTCGTATTGGTTTATGTGAACAAAAGCATGTCTGTTTTCAGTCTCGAATGCTCCACGATATGACTCCATCACTGTACTGGGTGTTGCGGCGGGACACTAATGATTACAGCTTCCTGAGCAAAAAACAAATGGTCAACCACTATGGTAATGTTACCTGCTTCACTACCAAGGTAATTTAGGTTTAATACCATATATGTTTATACAGTGCCATATTGTTCGTGCGTACATTTATGATTATAATTTGTCTTCACGTTCGCCTTCTATAAACTCTGGCAGAAAGTTGTGTGGTTCATCCACCTCCAGATTTTAGTCTTGTTTCAGAACCAGAGTGTTACATGCACATCCATTTCACAGATCTTTCTTATTTGTATGTAGACTGTTGTTCCTTTCCCTTCAGGCTGATGCACTCCAACTTTTGAGGATGTCCCCAATTAGTCGACTCCTACGACTGACTGCCCCTCGTGCCCAAACGAGCATGCCATAGAAGACTAATCTGGGGCATTTTCTTCGAAGTCTGAGAAGCAAGGAATCACCAGTCTGCATACAAACAAGCCGGTTCTTTGAAACTAGTTTGCACGCAAAATTAAATTCTGGAAGAAGTCTCAAGTCCACGAGAAGACAATCAGCCAGAACTTTTCACCAGATTTACAACTAGTGAACAAGAAACAGAAGAAGGATCCTACTTTGATCATCTGACTACGCAAGAATGTGATGGTGACAACGATGTTGTAAACATCTACTTGAAAACTGTGATCTCTCTCCAGGCTGGGCTGTGCACCCATTTGAAAAATGTGATGTGGTTTACAGATGTAGACGCTGATACCTTCTTTCCGCGCAGCTACCTTCTTTGTAATGACGACGAGAAGAAAGCTTTTATAGGTAAATTGAGTCTGTGGTTTTATTTCTTGCTTTGCTCTCATGCAGTTGTTTTGTGTACTGGTTAGGCTAAGTCTAGGATGGACAGAGAATAGGAATGGCTAGAACTGTTTTCAATAATTTGCGTAAATTATTGACAGCTAGAGAGATAATCAATCAATGAATCAGTTAGTCAATCAATTAGTCAGTCAATCAGGTGCCATCTCCTCAAAGAAGGTTCATCGCAGTGGACCTCCAACACACTTTGTCTTTTGTTTTGGTTGTACACTCTCTCTGACTGCTGTTTTTCCATTTCTTGAGGTTGTCCTCCCATTTGCAACACTGTCTACCTCTTACTATCTTGCCTCCAACCTTTTCCTCCAGAAGGGAGATAAACAACGAATTAAAAATAAGAATAGTCAAATGTTATGTATACTCAACCCTGCTGTATGATTGAGAAACCTGGACAATGAACACACAGCTATAAAATCAAATGGAGATTCTAGAAATGTGGGTATACAGAAGAATAGTTCATATTTAATGGAAGCAAAAACAGTAAAATACAGAGGGTCTGGAGAAACTGCAAATGAAACGAAGAGTATTGAAATATTTTGGCTACATTAAAATATCTAAGATTCTTTTAAAAACCACCCTAGAGGGAAAAGTCAAAGGCACTAGAGCAGGAGGCAGACAACGATGTAGTTGGGAGGACATCCAGAGATAGACAAACGGCAGTCGGAGAGAGTGTACAGTAAAGACAAGAGACAGAGCATGTTGGAGATCCATTGCAGTCAACCTTTTTTGTGGAGATGGCACCTGATTGAGTGTGAGTCTGGTTACTTCATCTCGCAGGAAACTATAGCTGTAAAATCATTAACTAGGCCTCAAGGGGTGAGCTATTTCAAGGCTATGTAGTTAAATGAAAGTCACGAGAAAACAAGTTGTTGGTGATTTTACTATGTGAAAGACAATGGTTGGAGTCTCTAAAGCATTTGAGGCTGACATAAATTAGTTACGTATTCGTGCCAGGGCATGTAAGCATGCAAGGAAATGAGCAAGTTGATAGACTTGCCGGTAAAGCTGCTATGAAGGGCAGATAAGCCATTTAACATGACGATATACTGAAGGCTCTACGAGAAGTAAGACATTTTGGAGAACCAAGTGATGTCTGAATCTGCAACCATGACCAGCATGTTAAAAGGGGTGTGGCCAGACTAGATCACTATGCATGAAGCCAAAGAAGAATAAGAAACCAACATAACAGGAGTCATCAGCCGCTATACCCTCCTGGATTTACTGAGGAGGGGATCCGATCACTTATGGACTGAATGTTTCGATGTGCAGTGAGGATAATCTGTCAGCTAACTAACTAAGAAACAAACAAAAAAACAACCTGAACAGTCTGCCTGAAAACCAAAGACGGCAAAATCTTAATGGCAAAAGATTTTCTTCTTTTCATTAATCCCAATAATGTAATTGCGATGTGCTTATTTACAGCATAGCTGTGACATTTCCACCTTTCGGCTGACACATCCGACTTTATCGAGCATTTGTTGACTTGGTTAACTTCCTGGATAGTTTGGCCAAGGATCTGATTTTAGACAAATATCATTGTCTGTGAGAAACCTTTACACTATGTATGTGGTTAACGTCGGCGTCTGGGGCTTGGGCGTTGCGAACGCGCTTTGTAATGCCGGGGTGCCGGGTTTGATACCAGCTGCGGACAGTTTGTCTTGCGTTGGTTTCAAAATTGGTACCGGGAGCTGACTGTTCAGCAAGCAATGGCAAACTATTGAACGTAAAATTTGCATAGAAAAACCACAACAGCCAGACAAATGCTGAAGCTGGTTCTGCAACGTCCTGTAAAGGATACGCAACTAACTGAACTGAATGTGGTGAACAGTTAGATATTCCCATTAACAGCAAGAGTAAGTCTGAGGTTAGTCTCATCACTATATGTCTGAGGTTAGTCTCATCAGTATGTGTCTAATTTTATACGAAAACGCCGCTGGAACTATGTCGGCCACGCCCTTAGAATGGATAAATCAAGACTTCCTTACCAAGCCCTCATTTGGACACCACAGGGGAAAAGATCTTGTGGAAGACCAAGGGAAACCCTACGTAGAACTATCATCAGGGAAGGCTCACTCATGGGCCACTCAAACATCCAAGACCTACAACAGATTGCAACGAACCGCCATGCATGGAGAGTCATGACCTCTGCCCTATGTGCCACACTCGACACAAGAGGAAAGACTAACTAACTAATTAACAGCAAATTGGAACTAGAACTAAACTTAAACTATTTAGCTCTATTATCAAATCAGTGCTGTTGTATGGAGCTGAAACATCAACAGCTTAAGCAGTTCCTAATGAACTACAAGCAATTATCAACTGGTACCTGCACAGAGTGAAGGGAATTACATGTTATGTTAGAATCACTAAAGTAGCGCTTTTGAAGCTGAATCAGTTGTAATGAATCAGGAGGGAAAGAAAAGTTGCTTGCGCTGGATAGGACATGCATTAACCCTTTTGCTCTGAGAGCTCGAAGGAAAATAGGTCATGACCCCGTTAGGATTCATGAAAATACCCGTGAAAACAACTATTTCTACACAAGTCACTAATAAATTCGTCGACATTTTAAAATTGTTTGTCAAAATATGTAAAGATATATTCAGTAAACACGTACAAAGTGAAGCATTCAGTGGAATACATCTCTCTCTCTCTTTCTCTCTCTCTCTCTCTCTCTCTCTCTCTCTCTCTCTCTCTCTCTCTCTCTCTCTCTCTCTCTCTCTCTCTCTCTCTCTCTATCTCTGTCTCTCTCTCTCTCTGTCTCTTCTCTCTCTCTCTGTCTCTCTGCCTCTCTCTCTGTCTCTCTCTGTCTGTCTCTCTCTTTCTCTCTCTCTCAATGCATGTCAGAAGTGCCAGTACATTCTGACAATATTGCATTGCCATGGACTGTATTAGATTCTGACAATGACATTTGTTGACAGAGGACTTCCGGCTAACAGCCTGCATGAGCATCGTCAAGGAGGCCATGAATCAACATCACAGATGCATGGAGCTTGTGCTGAGGTCTAGCAGTACCTCTGAGGTTAGTCTCATCACTATATGTCTGAGGTTAGTCTCATCACTGTGTGTCTGAGGTTAGTCTCATCACTGTGTGTCTGAGGTTAGTCTCATCACTATGTGTCTGAAGTTAGTCTCATCACTGTATGTCTGAGGTTAGTCTCATCACTATATGTCTGAGGTTAGTCTCATCACTATATGTCTGAGGTTAGTCTCATCACTGTGTGTCTGAGGTTAGTCTCATCATTGTGTGTCTGAGGTTAGTCTCATCACTGTGTGTCTGAGGTTAGTCTCATCACTATGTGTCTGAAGTTAGTTTCATCACTGTGTGTCTGAGGTTAGTCTCATCACTATATGTCTGAGGTTAGTCTCATCACTATATGTCTGAGGTTAGTCTCATCACTATATGTCTGAGGTTAGTCTCATCACTATCTGTCTGAGGTTAGTCTCATCACTGTGTGTCTGAGGTTAGTCTTATCACTGTGTGTCTGAGGTTAGTCTCATCACTATATGTCTGAGGTTAGTCTTATCACTATATGTCTGAGGTTAGTCTTATCACCGTGTGTCTGAGGTTAGTCTCATCACTGTGTGTCTGAGGTTAGTCTCATCACTGTATGTCTGAAGTTAGTCTCATCACTCTATGTCTGAGGTTAGTCTTATCACTATATGTCTGAGGTTAGTCTTATCACCGTGTGTCTGAGGTTAGTCTCATCACTATATGTCTGAGGTTAGTCTTATCACTGTGTGTCTGATGTTAGTCTCATCACTATATGTCTGAGGTTAGTCTCATCACTATATGTCTGAAGTTAATCTCATCACTGTATGTCTGAAGTTAGTCTCATCACTGTGTTTCTGAGGTTAGTCTCATCACTATATGTCTGAGGTTAGTCTCATCACTGTATGTCTGAAGTTAGTCTCATCACTATATGTCTGAGGTTAGTCTCATCACTATATGTCTGAGGTTAGTCTTATCACTGTGTGTCTGAGGTTAGTCTCATCACTATGTGTCTGAAGTTAGTCTCATCACTGTGTGTCTGAGGTTAGTCTCATCACTGTGTGTCTGAGGTTAGTCTCATCACTGTATGTCTGAAGTTAGTCTCATCACTGTATGTCTGAAGTTAGTCTCATCACTATATGTCTGAGGTTAGTCTTATCACTGTGTGTCTGAGGTTAGTCTCATCACTATATGTCTGAGGGTTAGTCTCATCACTATATGTCTGAGGTTAGTCTCATCACTGTGTATCTGAGGTTAGTCTCATCACTATATGTCTGAGGTTAGTCTCATCACTGTATGTCTGAAGTTAGTCTCATCACTATATGTCTGAGGTTAGTCTCATCACTATATGTCTGAGGTTAGTCTTATCACTGTGTGTCTGAGGTTAGTCTCATCACTATGTGTCTGAAGTTAGTCTCATCACTGTGTGTCTGAGGTTAGTCTCATCACTGTGTGTCTGAGGTTAGTCTCATCACTGTATGTCTGAGGTTAGTCTCATCACTATCTGTCTGAGGTTAGTCTCATCACTGTGTTTCTGAGGGTAGTCTCATTTTTATATGTCTGAGGTTAGTCTCATCACTATATGTCTGAGGTTAGTCTCATCACTATATGTCTGAAGTTAGTCTCATCACTATGTGTCTGAGGTTAGTCTCACTATATGTCTGAGATTAGTCTCATCACTGTGTGTCTGAGGTTAGTCTCATCACTATATGTCTGAAGTTAGTCTCATCACTGTGTGTCTGAGGTTAGTCTCATCACTGTGTTTCTGAGGTTAGTCTCATTTCTATATGTCTGAGGTTAGTCTAAACACTATATGTCTGAGGTTAGTCTCATCACTATCATCAGTTATTATCTTGAGAACATCCTTTGACGGGCACCATCGTTAGTTCATGATAACATACTGAGATCACATCTGCGTTATTTATAGCTTCGTTCATCATATCTTTCCAGTGTGAGTTTTCGAGTGCCATTGGGAAAGAGCGGGGGGGGGGGGGGGGGGGGGGGGGGTGAAATTGACCAAACTTCCTCGCTAACAAACATGTTTTACGTTGACTAAATTATGAATTTTCCTTTAAAGTTGTATATCTGCTTGAGAAGCAAGGAACCAACAGTCTGTTTAAAAATAAGCCAGATCTGTAAAATAGATGCCTATACAAAAGTTAATTGCGTATACTGTATAGTACATTGCAGAACCAACCCCAGCAGTTGTTGGCTGTTTCAGTTTTTGTTGGGCAATTTTACGTTCAGTAGCTTGTCACCTGCAAGGCGGTCTTCTGCCAAGTGTTCAGTTTTTGTTGGGCAATTTTACGTTCAGTAGCTTGTCACATGCAAGGCGGTCTGCTGCCAAGTGCCGGCAGCTAGAATCAAACCAAGTACCTTGGAATTCGCAGCACCTAAGCCACAGGTGCCAACAACTGTGTTGTGACCTAATGTATGTGAGATTTTACCACTTCCTGAACTCTCACAGCGTCTGCTGTTGGATTCACTTGTACCTCAGATTATTTTCACCTGTCCTTTAGCCGAAAAACCTGTTTATTTTCACCTGTTGCTTTATTCCGTCTACTTGGAAGCTACAAGACAAGGAGCAGCAGGGCTCCAATGTTGATGCCTGCTCTGTAGCTAGTAGTGACAGCATTCACACAGCTGGACTGAAACCTTCAGAGATGGATAAGAATCCGTGTAAGTGAATTTGTTTTTAGAGTTTAGTTCACACACACACACACACACACACACAGACAGAGAGAGAGAGAGAGATATGCTCAAGACTGGCAATACACAAAAAGAGACCAAGGGAGACGGAGACATGGTGAGAGAGAGGTAGACAGAGATATGATGAGAGAGAGGTAGACAGAGACGTGGATAGATAGAGGTAGACAGAGATATGGTGAGAGAGAGGTAGACAGATGTGGATAGAGAGAGGTAGACAGACATGGTGAGAGAAAGGTAGACAGAGACGTGGATAGAGGTAGACGGATGTGATGAGAGAGAGGTAGACTGAGACATGACAAGAGAGAGGTAGACAGAGACATGGCAAGAGAGAGACAGAGACATGGCAAGAGAGAGGTTAACAGAGACATAGTGAGAGAGAGGTAGAGACATGGTTAGAGAAAAGTAGACAGACATGGCAAGAAAGAGGTAGACAGAGACATGGCAAGAGAGAGGTAGACAGAGACATAGAGAGAGAGAGGTAGACAGAGATATGGCGAGAGAGAGGTAGACAAAGACATGGCAAGAGAGAGGTAGACAGAGACATGGCAAGAGAGAGGTAGACAGAGACATGGCAAGAGAGAGGTAGACAGAGACATAGAGAGAGAGAGGTAGACAGAGACATGACAAGAGAGAGGTAGACAGAGACATGGTGAGAGAGAGGTAGACAAAGACATGGTGAGAGAGAGGTAGACAGAGACATGGTGAGAGAGGTAGACAGAGACATAGAGAGAGAGAGGTAGACAGAGACATGGCAAGAGAGAGGTAGACAGAGACATGGCAAGAGAGAGGTAGACAGAGACATAGAGAGAGAGAGGTAGACAGAGACATGGCAAGAGAGAGGTAGACAGAGACATGGTGAGAGAGAGGTAGACAAAGATATGGTGAGAGAGAGGTAGACAGAGACATGGTGAGAGAGAGAGGTAGAGAGGTTAACAGAGACATAGAGAGAGTAGAGACAGGTAGAGAAAAGACAGACATGGCAAGAGAGAGGTAGACAGAGATATGGCGAGAGAGAGGTAGACAGAGACATAGAGAGAGAGAGGTAGACAGAGACATGGCGAGAGAGAGGTAGACAAAGATATGGTGAGAGAGAGGTAGACAGAGATATGGCGAGAGAGAGACAGAGACATAGAGAGAGAGATGGCAGAGAGAGAGGAGAGAGAGGTAGACAGAGATATGGCGAGAGAGAGGTAGACAAAGACATGGCAAGAGAGAGGTAGACAGAGACATGGCAAGAGAGAGGTAGACAGAGACATGGTGAGAGAGAGGTAGACAAAGACATGGTGAGAGAGAGGTAGACAGAGACATAGAGAGAGAGAGGTAGACAGAGATATGGCTGGAAGGAGGTAGACAGAGACATGGTTACAAAGAGGTAGACAGAGACATGGTTACAAGAGAGAGGTAGACAGAGACATGGTTAGAAAGAGGATGAAAGAGACATGATGAGAGAGAGGTAGACAAAGACATGGTGAGAGAGAGGTTGACAAAGACATGTCGAGAGAGTTGAATGCATGGCATGACACTGTGAGCTGCGGATTTCATTTGGAATGTTTTTTCGACTGTGACCAAGGTGGTGGTGTGAATTCTAGAATCAGAAAATGGTGCGATGCTTGTCGTGCAATGTTGGTGGTGCCCGTGTGTGATTAAAATTGATCGCGTGGGCAACTGCTGATCTGTTGGTGACTTCTGCTACCATCAATAATGAACTGCATTTCTAATGCCGACTGTTTGTGTTAGCACTTCGGATGGCTACCGTATGCTTTAATGCGAGTGTATGCTAGATATGCTGAGACAGCAGTCTGTCAATCTTTCCACAAGGGACTGTGATAAACATTCTGTGTGTTTTTTGTTGGCACAGGAGCGGAGCAAAGATGTGGTGACCGGTTTGCTTTGAAGCTGAAACTAAGACTACCAGACTACTAGACTACCATGTATAATATATAATTGTGTTTTGTTACTTACATTAAGTGTCAGAAAATGTTGCACCAAAGACTCAGAAAAGAAAGAAGCAGAAGAAGAAAATGAAGAAGCGGCCTGTGATGCCCCCACATGTGCTGGAGATAGCAGTTTCACAGTGTGAGAAATTCTTGGCTTCTAAGACACATGAAGACCTCGACACACCGTCTGATGTAAGTTCCATTGCTTGCTTCTTTCAGTTGGCCTCTTCTTTGTAAAACTTGTTGCTTGTTAGTCGCGGTCCCAGTATCATGATCATTGTTCCATTGCTATGCCAGCAACTATTACACAACTTTCTTATCACTGTCCCATGTGATTAGGGAATCAGACCATAGTCCTGATAAGACCACCAACATGCACACACATTACATACATAAGGCAGCCAACAAAATATTAAAACCAATATAGTCCAGAAGTCCTGCCGAACTATAACAATCAGTAACTGTTGGGTGAAAGTTGTTGAACTTAGGCATGCAGCCAGTTAATAATCATGTGTTTCGTATAAAGTACTTTTTAGTGTCAGATATTTCTGCGGTCCAAAGTCTGCATGTTCGACCTCTCACTCTGTTACCACTGCATCTGTATAACACTGCTCTCTATGATGTTCTGTTTTATGCTTACTTTGACTTGAGTAAATTGAGTAATGGGAACTGTTCAGAACATCAGACTGCATGTGTGTCATAGGTATTCACTCTCAGGTGGTTATCTGCAGCATTAGTCTCCAATGAGTAGTGGATTTTTTTATTGAGCATTGATTGGGGAATAGGCTGTTAAAATAATCACCATGCATTGCAGCTCATGTGAACTGATTTCCCAACAAAATTCAGATGTGTGTCACTTACAGTATATTCTATTTTCAGAGGTACAGATATTATTAGTCAAATAAAAATCAAAGAAATTCTCCCGCTTAAAGAAAACTGCAGCACCTGTGGAATTGTAAATTCTAGAATCATAAGGACATAGGAAACCTCAGGCCACATTCACAAATTTGCGTTGATCCTACAATAGTTTTTGAGATATTTGTTAGAGTGACGGCATGGGTTTTAATCACTTTATAGAATTGCAGTTCATCATCATCATCATGACACAACCAGCATTCTGCGTAAACTAGACTGTCTGGCCTTTCCCCCCACAGTTGAGCGATTCCACAAGGATATTGAGACCAGTCAAGAGGCAAGAAGCCATCTCTTCTATAGGGCATGATTTGCTTGATTCTGGACATGTAATTGACAAAGGCAGTGTTTGCTATGTGATTTACCACACACTGAACAGACGACTGCTGAGACTGCCCAAAGATTTAATGATTAAAATCAACCCCCCCACTCCTTTGTAAACAGTAAGAATTTATTGTCATTTTGAAGTTACCTTGGTAAGACAGGTGACTGCAGTGAACTTCAGGCAAATTGATGAACAGTAGGCACTGAGAGAAACCATTCGCATTTTAGTTTGATTTATTCAGTTTCTGTGCTTCATTTTATGTTGATGTAACTCTGTAGTATAATGCACCTGAAGAGATATAGTGAAGTATGACAGGCACTGAATTAGAAAAGGGGTTGTTTGCATCCTCATTATTTTTAAATGTTTTTAAACCTTGGGGAGAAGAGTGGGTGGAAATGGGGGGATGGGGGTTTAAACCCATATTTGTAGCAAGTGGGATGCCATTTGACATTGTTAACTTCATCACTTTGCTGTTAACTTTGCTTTGTTACCAACCCTAGTTTGTCAACTTTATTTTCTTACTAACACTAGTTTGTTAACTTTACTGTGTTACTAACCAAAGTTTGTTAGTTTTGCTTTTTTCTTAACTGTACTTCATTGTTTATTTATTTCAGTGTTAATTTGGCTGTTTACTCTGTCCTCAGATTGGAGTTCTTTCTGAGGAGGAGTGGGATGATCTTATCACATGGAGCTATCAGTTAATTCAGTATGATCGTAACACTGACCAGATTTTAGGCTGTTTCTTAGCGAAATGTTTTTTAATTTGATTTGCTGGTAGCCAGCCTGGTGTGTTGGTTAAATAACTGCTAATGTAGTTTTAACCTGATGTTTTTACTACAAAAACAAAAATCCATCATCACCATTATGTGCCACACTAATAAGCTTAGCTATCATGTTTCCCCATCTTACACAGTTACCATAGTCACAGATTAGGTCAATGTTCCTGCCTCGTCCTATCCACATGGCTCAGGTATTTATCTCTCTGCCTTCCCTTGCTCTGTTTCCATCATTCTTACCAGTTCTCAGATCCATTTCTTCTGGTAACATGTCCAGAAAACACTGACTGTCTATGGCTAATTTCTCTGATTAGTTTACGGTTTTCATTTATTTCAAGGAGTATAAATTGTGAAATCCTGACATGTAACTTGGCATCTTAAAGATGGTAGTTTGCTTTATAGTCAAACACCTGTAACGTTTAATGCTGATACTTGTAAGCTATAGAAAACTAGTTAATTTCAAAAGCAGAAACAGCTAAAATATTGAACTTACAGTCATTAAATTGTAGAGGTAGCGCCGTTATTTTGGTCACAGGCGTAAGGGAAAGTTAAGGCCGCTATGATGTGTATGAGGAGATATGTCGTAACTCACCTCGGGCGTCAGCAGTTCATTTCTGGCTTTACAGATCCTCTCGCAGGACTCTTGCCACACGTCCTTATCCTTCATCAGTCACTATGGATAATGGCTCATGTGGGCTTGAACCGAGCTGGTAGGAGATCTCGGAGTTGGTGGCACACAGAGAGGCAGTGTCCATAATTCCTTGGGCTCTCATTAGCCCACCCTCTATGCATAGGTGACAACGTCTAGCGAAAACTCATTTAGAGCATGAGTATAGCCCTCTAACCAAAGTTCCTACTATATGACAAAACCATAGTTCAAAGGTCTGTCCAGTCTTCGAGTCAGAGAATTACGGAACGGCTGAGACTCAGCCCTGGACCAAGAGATTGTTCAGATGTCTGATGCCATTGGCACCACTTGTCAGAGTCTTGGGACCAAACAGGAGAAGCCATGCTTACTGCAATGAGTGGAAAGCTTTACATACAGATGTGAGGTTAAGCAGTAATGCGCAGGATGTCATGGTTCCTTAGTTGAGTCCAGGACCAGAGCGTCATGTGTCGGCTCTGCATTTATTTAAAATTCGTAGGGGCAGGATCAACAGAGTTAGCCTTAAACAGGTTCCTTTAGTGAAGTACCACCAAGATAGTTGATAGGCTGCATTGTTAATTCTACTCAGAAAACAAGTTCTGATACTGAAGTATGTCCAGAGAATTGGCATCAGTCAGGTTCTGTTACTGAAGTGTGTCCGGAGAATTGGCATCAGCCAGGTTCTGTTACTGGAGTGTTTTGAGAGAATTGGCATCATCAGTCAGGTTCTGTTACTGAAGTGTGTGCAAAGATTAAAAATTTTTTTTTTTTAAAACTATTCTGAGTAAGTAAGCACAGAATTGTGTAATTCAGTCCCAAGAATATATTAATTGGGTAGTAAACAGACAAAGCAGCTAGCATCTTTCTTGTGATTTAAAAAAAAAAATTGTGGATCTTGTATTAATTGAAGATGTACGGTCTTTAGGGAAGAAGGCCAGTTTTACAGCATCCCCTTCAATCTGAAAGCACAGTGTGAAAGCCTGATTGAGCGTTTGCCCAAGTATTTCCCCCAGTTTGAGATGAGTGGCACACACAATGTGTGGATTGTCAAACCTGGTGCCAAGTCTCGTGGTCGAGGTATAGCCATCTGTAATTGAATCCAGAGATTTTCTGTGTATTGTATGCTCTGTTGTTGTTGGGTCTTGAGATCTTCCATGTTTTGTATACTCATCTGTCATTGGGTCATGCATTCTTCATCATTTATTTTAATATTTGCCATCAGCCTACTAGATCTGCATATATTGTATGATCATCTGTCATTCGGCCATAATGTCTTCCATGTAATGTATGCTCATCAATCATCTTCCATTTATTTTATGTTCAACTGTCATTAAGTCATGTGATCTTTCATGTGTTATATGTTCTCCTTTCATTGGGTCATGAGATTTTCATGTATTGTATGCTTATCTGTCATTAGGTCATGTGATCTTCCATGTATTGTATGCTTATCTGTCATTAGGTCATGTGATCTTTCATGTATTGTATGCTTATCTGTCATTAGGTCATGTGATCTTCCATGTATTGTATGCTTATCTGTCATTAGGTCATGTGATCTTCCATGTATTGTATGCTTATCTGTCATTAGGTCATGTGATCTTCCATGTATTGTATGCTTATCTGTCATTAGGTCATGTGATCTTCCATGTATTGTATGCTTATCTCTAAAATGGGTCATGAGATCTTCATGTATTGTATGCTCATCTATCATTGGGTCATAAGATATTCCATGTATTGTATGTTCAGCAGTCATTGGGCCATACAATCTTCCATGTAATGTATGCTCATCAGTCATGTGATCTTCCATTTATTTTATGCTTATCGGCCATTAGGTCACGTGATCTTCCATGTATTTTATGCTCATCTGTCATTCGATCATGAGATCTTTCATGTATTGTATGCTAATTAGTCATGAAATCTTTCATGTATTGTATGCTAATCAGTCATGAGATCATCATTTGTTTTCTAATCTGTCATCGGCCTACAAGATCTGCATATATTGTATGATCATCTGTCATATATATTGTATGCCAACTTGTGGTTGGGTCATGAAATCTTCAGGTACTGTATGCTAATTTGTTATGCCAATCCTGATATGTTTGCATATAACTTAACTGTTGTTATATCATCTTTGCCAGGAATCAAATGCTATGAAAAGCTGACTGATATACTTACACTGGTGTCCAGCCTGGCAGCAAAGATCGAAGGAAAATATGTTGTACAGAAGTATATAGGTACAAATAAAATCAGTATTTAACTTTGTTGTGACTTTTACACAGCACAGTGTTTAATTCTGCTCAGTGCTGGCTATTTTTAGTTAGAAGCAACATATAATGTTAGATTAGGTCTCATGTATCTCAGCATCCGGAATTTGTGTTATTATACATTTTAAGTTGTGTCAGAAATAGTAAAATAATCCGGCATCCGCAGTAGTTGCTTCCAAAGTAGCTATTTGCAAGATGGAAATCATTGGCAGCAATAAAGCAGTGTAAACTACAATGAGAAAAAGATTATGAACATAATATCTTTATTGTCCCCGTGTGGGTTCCACGGCTCCATTGTGTGGAAAACATGTAGGACCACCTACCTCCTTAAAAAAAAGCATGTCGTAGAAGTCAATTGACTGGGGAGCTTCTTTCAAAGTCGGAGTGACTCTGCCTGGGAGGCAAGGAAACAGCAGTCTGCAAACAAATAAGCTAGATCTGTACAATAGATGTGCACACAACACTGAATGCTGACACAAGTCCATTGGTGAACGAACAACCAGAACTTTTCTACTGGGGTTTACAGCTGGCGAACATGAAGAAGAAGAAAGATATTTTCAATGACATTATATTTTTATCCTTGTCTTCCTTCAATGGGATGAATGAATCCCTCAGAATTTATTTATCATGTTAATTGATTGCCACTGTTTTGAATTAACAGAACATCCTCTGCTCGTCTACAACACAAAATTCGACATTCGCCAGTGGTTCTTGGTTACGGACTGGAATCCTCTGACTGTCTGGTTTTACAAGGACTCATATCTACGCTTCTGCTCCCAACAGTTTACTCTGGAAGATTTCAGTGAAAGCATCCACCTGTCAAACAATGCCATACAGAAACACTACAAGAATGGGCCTCGCTCACCAAGACTGCCGCTGGACAATATGTGGACAAGTGAAGAGTTCAAAAAGTATTTGGAGTAAGTTGACGCCTGGTTGTGCATAGTTGTATAGTCTTGTAGCATTGTAATATAGGTTCTGGCAGATTGCAGAGTGGCTCGGAAGTTGAATTTTTCTTTGTAATGTTGTCAAAATTGATGTCACTGCACATTCAGTCTTCCCATGCATGTAACTGTACTGTTGTCCCCATGAGAAATTAGTTACACTGACTCGAAGGTGGAATTGACATGCTTCATCGAGATCCTGCGGCCATGTTGGTACCAGTCTGATTAGTACAGCGTTGGTGCTATCTGCTCTGTCAATGCATCTTCCTGCATTCAGTGTGAAGCAGTACTTGCCAGATGGTCCGCTCGTTCATTATCTTTCACTCCGGCTTGCCCAGATGAATTTATCTCTAGTTTGGAGGGTTGTGTTTATACAGACGTTTGGATCTGTGTCTAGTCTGGCTTTTGTCTGCCTCTCTAACTTTCCAGCTAGCATTTTCTCCGATACATTTTCTGTTTAAAAAAAAAATATTTTTCAAGATTTCTTTGGTAAAAATTCTAGTTCATTTTCTTTGAATCTGCATCAGCAGACCTCAGATTCAAGGTTTGTTGGGGGAACACAGTTTGTGCAAAGAAGAGGCCATCTTGTCTGTAAGTGAACACTTGCTGCATACAGAAACACAAATCCCTGACCATGTTGGCAAGCAGGGCTGCCAGTATTTTTGTTGAGAACAACAAGAATATTGATGCAACATTTCTGAAACATGTACCAAAACATCAGGTGTTGTACCAGAAATACAGTTTTGCTCATCAAGGGTCAAATAGTACTAGATTTGTATGAATGTACCAGCTTCGGCAGTCCTTTTGACAAGTGGCTGAGCAAACAGTTCAGGACGCTGGGTTTTCATGTCATAGAACATTATGTGGCAAATGAAAATTGCGTAGTTGAATGAAAATGAATACCCGATTTTGGCTTAAATTGAGTAGGAATTTAGATGTGCGCCTTTGACATATTGTAAAGTTAAAAAAACAACATCACTTAGGTGAAAGTCGCCAAAGTTACACTTAGGTGACTGGCCTAGTGAAAGTGAAGTGTCGTTACAGTGCAGACCTGATAAGAAGAACTCATTGGGGACCCAAGAGATGGTTCTTCTTATTGGGAAATTCATCTTCTCTTAAAAGAGTTCAAGCAAGAAATATTGTCAGGGATAAATAAATTATTCTTCACAACATAAATTGGCCCCACCCTAGATCGCCTTAAGCGGCCTGCGCTGTATATGACACATACCTCCCCTTGATGAAACTTTGATCCTCATTTTCAGACAAAATGAACGTGCGGCAGCTTGGGATAAGAAGATTTATCCACAGATGAAGCAGGCTGTGATTGGTGCATTACTGGTTAGCCAGGACAATGTAGAGTGTCGTAAGGTAAGGAGCCAGGACAGTGTGGAATGTCGTAAGGTAATGAGCCAATGCATTGTAGAGTGTTGTCAGGTAAGGAGCCAGGACAGTGTAGAGTGTTGTCAGGTAAGGAGCCAGGACAGTGTAGAGTGTTGTCAGGTAAGGAGACAATGCATTGTAGAGTGTTGTAAGGTAAGTAGCCAGGACAGTGTGGAGTGTTGTAAGGTAAGAAGCCATGACATTGTGGAGTGTCATAAGGTAAGAAGCCAGGACAGTGTGGAGTGTCATAAGGTAAGAAGCCAGGACAGTGTAGAGTGTCGTAAGGTAAGGAGCCAATGCATTGTAGAGTGTTGTCAGGTAAGGAGCTAGGACAGTGTGGAGTGTCGTAAGGTGAGGAGCCAGGACAATGTAGAGTGTCGTGAGGTAAGGAGCCAGGACAGTGTGGAGTGTCGTAAAGTAAGGAGCCAGGACAGTGTAGAGTGTCGTAAGGTAAGGAGCCAGGACAGTGTAGAGTGTCGTAAGGTAAGGAGCCAGGACAGTGTGGAGTGTCGTAAGGTAAGGAGCCAGGGCAGTGTGGAGTGTCATAAGGTAAGAAGCCAGGACAGTGTGGAGTGTCGTAAGGTAAGGAGCCAGGACAGTGTAGAGTGTCGTAAGGTAAGGAGCCAGGACAGTGTGGAGTGTCGTAAGGTAAGTAGCCAGGACAGTGTGGAGTGTTGTAAGGTAAGAAGCCAGGACAGTGTGGAGTGTCGTAAGGTAAGGAGAAAGGACAGAGCCAGGACCGTGTGGAGTGTTGTAAGTTAAGAAGCCAGGACACTGTGGAGTGTTGTAAGTTAAGAAGCCAGGACAGTGTGGAGTGTTGTAAGGAATTGTCCTAAGGTAACAAGCTGCTAAAATGAGAATTATTGTAAGGTAAGAAGCCGCTACAATGTGAATTGTTGTAGACAGAAAGGGGAGTATTTGCAGGGAAAGAGAATATAGCAGAGGAAATTAAGTTTATCTGATAAATAGATGAAATTATGGGAAAGTGGATTTGACAAACAAAAACAAGTAGATTTGATGTGAACGTTATAGAGGAAAATGGGTTGATTTAACAAATAGATGGAAGGTTAGTTTTAAAAAAAATGTGATAGCCATAAACAGGTAAAAGAAATATGGGGGTGGGGGGTGGAGAGATGAATATTACAGAAGAAAATGAGTTGATGAGGAAAAATAGTTTGAACGTTAGAAAGAAGGTGAATATCTTCTTCTTTTCATTTGTCAGAGTAATGTAATTGAGTTGTGCCAGTGTTTGTGCCTTTTGGCTAACTCATCCAACTTCATTGAGCATTAGTTGACCAGGTTAACTTCTCAGATATTTTCTTGGAGTGTTCTCTCCATCTTCTTATTTATAGGTGCTGTCCCTGGAGAACCTGTCCAGTGAAACTATGTAGACTGATCAACCCTCAAAGAACGCAGGGTCAGATTTGGGCATTTCCCACCATCCAAGAAGGCTTCCATAAATGCAGAGCCGACACATGGTGCTGTGGTCCTGGGCTCACCCGAACAATCATCACATTTTGCACCATCAGTATATTGAGCTTCCTGCGCATCACAGGCTGCACCGCGGGGACCAGCCCGCAGATACAGGACTTCGTTGGCCACACATATAAGTACATTCTTCTTCAACAGGTTGGATACCCTTAACATTGTTTCATCTGGACACTTAGTACAACAGTATGGAAAAGCATGCTTCAGGTGTGGCCACCCCTATTTGGTCCAAACATTCTGGCGAGTGGGGCCGATGGTAACGGACATCTGAACCTTTCTGCAAAAAAAGTAGGACTTTTGACAGTCAACTGACTGACAGTGGCAAAGTGTCATAGTGTACCTGAGCATGGCAGCGATTTTGAGGGTCATCAAAGGATTACAAAGACAGGACTGTATTGCAAGTTACCGCCCGCAGGGGATGTTGCTCATTTGAGCAGCGATCTAGGGCTGAGTTTCAGCAGAACAGTAGTTCTTTCATTGGACAGACGTTTTTATTAATGCGTTTGGGATGGGCTGATAAAGGCCAGAGGATTTCTGGGTACTGTACCCCTGGGGACCACCAACTCTGAGATCCCTTGCCAGCTCGGTTTGTGCTCAGTTGAGGCAGTATCCATGGCGCATGACAAGGATGTGTGGCAAGATTCATAAAACCAGCAGAGAGACGGCTGGCGCCCGAGGTGAGGTGCAGAGTAACTCTTTATACACATCACAATGGCTTGAGCTTTCCCTCACGCTGGCCATCGAAATCACCCTGCCACTAATCATCATCACGTACCCTGCCGTCTGGTGTAGTCATTCGTGCATCTCTACAGATCTTTGGTCCCTTGTCCTCTAGATCAGTTCCACAGATGATATCCCTCTGTGGCACGGTTGCAGTCCATCCGTCATCATCTCTCTCTCGGTCTGCCTCTCCCTCTTCTACTGTTGATCTTCCCAGTCGTCAAGATTCTCTAAAGCCACAAGTTTATTTTATAGATACTGTTAGATAATATGTTCTTATTGAGCTTTGTTGACATAATGAGAACAAGGCCTTTTTTTTAAATAGAGAAAAATGTGCCGATATTAACAACAAAATGTCTTTAAAAAAACAAGGTGCCAGTACTTACAACAAAATGTCTAAAAACAAGGTGCCGGTACTCACATTTAAATGTCTAAAAACAAGGTGCCGGTACTCACAATTAAATGTCTAAAAACAAGGTGCCGGTACTCACAACAACATGTCAACAACAACAAAAAAGTGCTGGACCAGTAAAAAAGTCAGTTACAGTAGTACAAATAAATGTTGCATAACAAAATGGTACCATTGTCTACCAGCAGAAAAAAAGCCTTGATCAAGACACAACCAATATATTGCATGGCTCATTTCACTGCAGTGTCCGCACAGCTGCTTGTTTCAACGGTAATGAAAAAAAAAAGATAGCAATATATGGACATGTATTAGAAGCCGGCAAAACAGGCTTTTAAAGACAGGGGCTTGAGAAAATAGGGATGTCCTAGAGAAAACCTGAAGACAAACATTGATAAGAAAGACAGGATGTACTTGACTGGATTCCGTTCACCATATCCTAAGGATTGCACAGGACGGAACAGAATTGATAACTAGTCCTCCGTGTGGGTTCCAGGGCCCCATTGTGGGGGAAACAAGAATAGACCCACTGCCTCCACAAAAGCACGCCGTAAGAGTCGACTAATTGGGGAGCTTCCTTTGAAGTTGGAGTGCATCTGCCGGAGAGGCAAGGAACCAACAGTCTATATTCAAGAGAATGAGATCTGTAAAACTGATGCACACACAACACTCAGGTTTTGGAGCAGGACTGCAGTTCAGTAATGGACGAGCAACCAGAACTTTCGCCAGAGTGCACAGCTGGTGAACTTGAAGAAGAAGATAACTAGTCTGTGAGCACTATGCGATGTACAATGGCACCTCAGGATGGTAATGATATTCCACTGTATCTTGTCAGATGCATTACTGCAGAATTTACAGCATCATCTGTGCTTGTTGGGCTGCCAGAGTGTAGCAGATAGATACTGCCTGCAGATCCGAATGTCATAGTTTCAAATCCACATGGAACTAGACTTTTTTCATACATGACCTTGACTCCCAGGTCGACCCCGCCTTAAGTGGGTACTAGGTAACATCCTTGGAAGTAAAGGTGGCCGCCTTCATGTTGAGAAATACACCCATAGCGGAGTCTAGCATGATATCCTGGATGCACCACTGGAAAATAAAGAGACCTTGACTTTTGACTGTTGTTTGACCTGTGTTTGTTTATCCTCAGTTCTCCTTCGAACTGTATGGTGCCGATTTTATGCTGACAGAGGACCTTTCCCCGTGGTTGCTTGAGATCAACGCTAGCCCCAGCATGGAGTCCAGCACATCCGTCACGGCCAAGATGTGCAAAGCCGTCTTGGAGGACACCATCAAAGGTACCGTTGGCTAGTCAAAAGACCCTAATGACCCCGTGGAGGTGAAGGCAGTATCAGAAGCTTCTCTGTGGCTGGGGAGTAGCACAGCCCAACATGTTACTAAAACCGACTCACAGAGCTTGTTTTTGGGAAATGAAAATGGTGGTCCTATGAGTAGAAGGGCTTTTGTCACTTGAAAAGATTCAGGTCAGGACCTAATGTGGATTGTCTGCCCAGGATATTCTGGGGTATGGAATTAATGAGCAGGCTGTCAGATTGTTGGCTACTGATCCTCTGGGTGGTGGGATACTTTCATGATAAAGCAGACATAGTTAAGTCTCTGGAGACCATGCAACAGAACAGACACCCATAGCTCGAGAGGAGGATTCATCAGAGGGTCAGGACAGTTTTCAACACGCAGGGGAGACAACCGGTGGATTATTTTTTTTGGGTCAGTTCCATCAGTACTGGAACTCTTCATTGGCTATGAAGGAACGGGACAGGCACTTATGGGAATGCCCTGAGTGCAGGGATGTCAGCTCTTGATACACTCATTCATTCCGTGTGAGATGCAGGTGTAGCACTGTGAGGTTATAGGCTGAGGGAGAAATGTGACCGGCATCATAGCACTCTGGACATTCCCATAAATACTCTATCCCCATCTTCAGCAGCAAGCAGAGTTAAAATTCCTATAGTACCAGTAACAGTGTGGTTCTGTGTCTGTCTCATCCCTCCCCTGAGTGTTGAACATCACCCAGATCCCCAGGTCATGCCACACAGCAGCATTCTCTTCAGACTTTGATCTGTTTTTGAGTTTGCAGTGTTTACTCACTCCCAAAGTGCCTTTCGGCATCTAGCCTATCATGCACCAGTTTTCCCACCAAGTGGTGCAGAACCAGCCAGTCTGCCTGCCTGTTAATTTCTCAAAACACTGGCATGATCTGAAGGAAATATCCATGGGTGTTAACTACCCAGGACTTCTGAAACGATGCTTGCCACTCAGTACTGAGCAGTCTTGCATTTACGCCTTCCCTGGAATGTTTTGGAGGAAGATTGAAGCACAGAGGTGTGAAAATGTTGAACCTTGTGTGTTCTAGGCCAGGACTCTGTGGTACAATGACCAATTCCCTTCCTGAAAGAGGATGTGGGATTGATCAACATAATGGATGAAAAAGGTTATCAAAACCCATTAGGAACATGAGTAAAGTGCTTCCCGAATGTACAACTAAAATTACAACCCTTGGTTAAAAGATGTTGGAGTGAAGAGAACATTGTTCTTCTGAGACTCAACCCTTGACCTAGAGATTTACCCGCTGCACAGACGAGTAACATCTCCTGTTGGTGGCGTCTCGCAGCAAGATTCTACCCATGTACATCCTATGTTAACCCTCAGTGTCGTCGTCACCGCGCTGAGGTACACCAAGACAGCAACCATCCATTGGCTGGCTAAGCCTAAATGTCCAACAAAACTAGAACCTACGTCACACGAGTAAGCTCGAAATCTGACCATCACAAATCGTATTGAACGGAAAAAGTCCAAATGTCCACACCAAAAGACCCCACTCGCCCGAGTGCTGGGACCAAACAGATAACGATATGCCTGACGCAGGATGTTGAATTTTGTCCGACTAACGGCTCGTCAAAGATACCTAACGTGCGAAGAAAAAGAATGTACCTATTTGGGTGGTCACAAAAGTCCAGAATTTGCGGGCTAATCCCCGCTGACTTCCGGAGGGCACAGCAGGCATGTGCAGGACGTGACGATTCCTTGGGTGAGCCCAGAACCAGAGCGCCATGTGCCGGCTCTGCAAAAATGGAAGCCTCCTTGGATGGCGGGGAATGCCCATGATCTGCCCCTGCCTTCCCTTGAGGGCCAACCGTTCCACAGGGGGCTGCCCCAAAGGGGTACTCCGGGGGCAATACCTGCGTAGAAGGAGATAAAGTGGACACCACACAAATCAGGCAACGTCTCGACCCACACGAAACAATGGCCACAGTCATCCTAGAAATAGGCCTGACGTCTTTCCTCGAAGTCGGAGTACAGCTGCCCATGAGGCAGGGAACAGCAAAAAGGTTGTACACGCAAAACTCAGGTCCAGTTAAAAGCCAAAAGTCCAAGTGGACGATCAACCGTGACCTTTTGCCGGAATTCACAGCCGGTGAACGAAGAAGAAGAAGAAGAACAGGACACTAAAGATCCTGAACATGGACATACATGAGGTGGGATTGACCAACATAATGGAGAACACAGGATACTAAAGACCCTGAACATGGACATACATGAGATGGGATTGACCAACATAACAGAGATTACAGGACACTAAAGACCTTGAACATGGACATACATGAGGCAGGATTGACCAACATATTGAAGAATACAGGATGCTAAAGACTTTGAACATGAACACACATAAGGCAGAATAGCTTACAAAAGATCAAGAGTATGTCCATTTGCATGTGATGCAAATCACTTGCACAGAGAACCCAGTACTCAATAATAGGGTATTTTTTGTTGGAAATAGAGGTTGATTAGATACTCATTTCAGGCTGGGTCTACCTGGAAATGTTAACATGAAAAAGAAAATCTGCATAGATGTTGATTTCAACCAGCTACCTCCACATGTGGGCCCTGAGACCTCATTTTAGAGGGGACAAGAATAGAACCCAATTCCCCCCCCCCCCCCCCCCCCCCCACAAGCATGTACTAAAAAGCAACTAATTAAGGGATTTTTGAAATCAGATGTGTTGGGCCGAAAGGCACAGAGATATCACAACCAAGCTGTAAACAACAGCATGACATGTCAACCACCCTTATAAGGGTAAACAGGGATGAAGAAGAGACTCATCTGGTGCTTAATCAGGGTCTATCAGGTAAATTTTAAAAATAAAACAATCTGCCAAGGTTTGGATTTTAACTTATAACCACCAGGACGACGTGCAAGCATGCTAGTGGCTGTATAGTCGTGATTCGACCAAAGAGTTTATGTAGATTTCCCCGTGTCGTTTCTGGGGCACCGTGATAGGTAAAACAAGAATCACCGGCAAGCACATCACAAGAATCAGCTAATTAGGGCTTCATTTGAAGTCGCTGCCTAAGGGGCATGGAACCAACAGACCACATACATATAAGCCAGATGTGTAAAACAGGTGTGCATGCAACACTCAGATTCTGGAATAAGACTAATGTCTAGAGTTTACAGCCAAGAACATGAAGAAGAAGAAGATTTGCTGATCATCTTATCTGCTGCTCAACCAGCCAACCACTGTGTCCGTAACGCCCTTAGCTTTCCCGGCAGTGGGTGTCATAGTTCAGCACATCAATTCCTAGTATAATTTGTTCCCCAGTTGTCATTGACCGCAAACTGAACAGGAACTGTGATACAGGCAGGTTCGAACTGGCCTACAAGCAACCTCACATTCCAGCCATATCGTACACGGGGATCAGCCTCTGTGTGCAGGGCCACGCAGTCCCGAGACCTGTCCAGAAGGAGGCATCCAGCCAGAAGAGATGCAGTGGAAACAATGGCTTTATGACTCAAGACTCAGCAGCAGCAGCACAACTGACCTCGGATAACCCAAGTTGTGACAACTCACAGTGTAATAACTTCTCTATGCTAGGAGTCCGAGACATGCTCAACAACATCCTCTTCTGCAATGGGAACCAGATCAAGTCAAACACAAGGAGCACTTTTGAGCCTTCAAGCCATCACTTCCTCTATACCATCCCTCGCTCACTCAAACATGGCAACTCAGTCGACCCCATTCCGAGGAAGAAGGGCCCGAAAAAGACAGCAGCGGGGAAATTTAAGAATGGCAAAGTTGCTCAGAGTCACAAGCCCGGTGCAAGGGGTAAACATAGTCTCTTATTTTGTTGAATCTTTATTCTTTGAGTGACGATGCTCATTTTTATTACTGTGGGAAGACAGAAGCAGAAATTTAATGTAGTAGTAGAAAACAAGAGTATTAAACAGGCATCTCAATTGACATGAAACTGCTGATAGAGAAGTTTGGTGATCTCTCCACACCTCAAGGTAAAATAGGAGTAAGTAAGTAAGGGTTGACATATCTGGTAACAGCATTCAGCAATTATGGCAAATTAGTTCAGAAATTAACATCCGATGCAGTAAAGCAGACCAAGTATTGGGACAGCTAACCCCCTTATTACTTCATATAACAAGTCCCATCAGCAAAGAAAAATCTCATAGAAAAGCATATTGATTCCCACTCCATGCTACCAGTGCCAGATGAGGTCACTCACAGCAAACACACACACACACACACACAATTAGTAACCACGGAAATGTGATGTCTAAGAAAGGATGCAGGAGTGAACTGAAGAGATGAATTCATGATTGAGGTCATAAGAGAAAAGAGTCGGCACAGAACCAGTTCTAAATTACATACACGGGCGATAATTTAAAAAATGTGTGCGATAAGAAGTACTTGGTACCAAGTGGAATTCTAAACATCTAGGCTACAAGAAAGATGATGTATACTACTAACTTGACCAAAGAGAACAACTAGAGATCTTCAGACTCTTCACAGATAAGAGACACTGATAATTACAACTGTTGAAATGGTAAAATGAAAGCTTAAAACTTGCAGCGCGAGTGTTTAACATACACAGAAAAGAAAAAAACATTATTCTGGCCCATGCCTGCTCCTCTTGAGGGCAAACACTTTGAAGATGACAAAAGCCTGGGTTTGATTGCTGATTTTTGTAAACGTACTCACATCGACAACTGAGGATGTGAGAAGAAGATAACTGGCAGGGAATCTTAGCGCCATTAGTCCCTAGAGATGGAGTGCACAGAAGCCATGAAGTGCAAATGCTGGTGTTCCTTGGCTCACCCTAAATGCATGAATAGTTTATTTTGAAATGGAGGGGGCGGGAAAGAGAGAATCTCTCTCTCTCTCTCTCTATCTGTGTACGTGTGTGTGTTACACAAGCCTACACACAGACACACATACAGAAAGCTCAGTTTGACACGTTAACCCAGATTCGTACTAAAAGACAACTGTTTTTAAGACAGAAATCCAAAATGGCAGGTTTATTTCTAGTCAATGCAAAAAATGTTTACATGTCTCTTACTAGAAGACTATACTCATAGGAGATGTGCCTCAAAAAATGTTTACATGTCTGTTACTAGAACTATACTCATAGGAGATGTGGATCAAAAAATATTTACATGTCTACTACTAGAAGACTCTACTTATAGGAGATGTGGATCAAAAAATATTTACATGTCTGCTACTAGAAGACTATACTTATAGGAGATGTGGATCAAAAAATATTTACATGTCTCCTACTAGAAGACTATACTCATAGAAGATATGGATCCAAAAATGTTTACATGTCTGCTACTAGAAGACTATACTCATAGAAGATATGGATCAAAAAATGTTTACATGTCTGCTACTAGAAGACTTTACTTATAGGAGATGTGGATCAAAAAATATTTACATGTCTCCTACTAGAAGACTATACTCAAAAGAGATATGGATCAAACAATTTTTACATGTCTACTACTAGAAGACTACACTCATAGGAGATGTGGGTCAAAAAATGTTTACATGTCTACTACTAGAAGACTACTCATAAGAGATATGGATCCAAAAATGTTTACATGTCTACTACTAGAAGACTATACTTATAGGAGATGTGGATCAAAAAATATTTACATGTCTACTACTAGAAGACTATACTCATAGAAGATATGGATCAAAAAATGTTTACATGTCTACTACTAGAAGACTACACTCATAGGAGATGTGGGTCAAAAAATGTTTACATGTCTGCTACTAGAAGACTATACTCATAGGAGATGTGGATAAAAAAATGTTTACATGTGCTGCTACTAAAAGACTACTCATAGGAGTATTATGATGAAGAGAGATCCTTGACACAAGCAGGCCTTCTTTAAAAAAAAATATGAAACAGACCCACCTGTCCATATACTGCCACATTGAATACCCCTAGGCATCTATGTGAGACATGTCATATGAAACTATTCCCTGTGTATCGTATCGTATAAAATCAAACAAAAATTCCAAGCTTAGTCCTTTTTTAGCCGCCTGATGGCCTGCTTTTTCAAGGACGGTTCCTTTGCTATCTTATTTTATTTATCTTCCTTTGTGGTGAGCAATTTCACCTGAGTTTGTTCATTTGTTGCCTAAGTTCTGGTTCTGAGGGGCCTGGTTCCTGTTTAATTGGCTATTCGCTAGCTGTTGCACTGTTCATCTGTGTTAGTACCAAGTCAGTCCGCAGTCACACCGCCGCGAAATAAACAGTCCCGCATACTGAGCGTCCTAAAACACGGCCCCCACAGGACGACTGTCACAATCTTGTTGTTGTGTGCAGCCGTTAAATATGTAGTGGATGTAACAAAGGTTGCAAAAAAAATTAGAACGCCCGAAGGTGCAAAGATATTTTATAGTTAGGTCGGAAGATGGAGAGAGACAGATAGCTTGCTAGGTTGAGGAAGAGGTCCTTGGTGAGTTGAGTCCTGCACACTGCCTGCTCTGCCTGGGTTATTTCCCTGTGTGGGTTCCAGGGCCCTATTATAGGGAAAACAAGAATAGACCCACTGCCTACCGAAAAGCATTTCTTAAGAGTCAACTAATTGGGAGTCTTCTTCGAAGTCGGAGTGTATCTGCCTGATAGGCAAGGAACCAACAGTCTGCACACAAATGAGTCAGATATGTCAAACGGATGCTCACGCAACACTCAGGTTCTCAAACAGGACTGCAGAACAACAAAAACTTTCCGCCAGAGTTTACAGCTGGTGAACATGAAGAAGAAGAAGAAGATATGAAACTATACGCAGAAGTCCAGTGCAGTAAAAATATGCAAAAGAAACAAAGTACTCATTTTGTGTAGGTAATTGAAATCCCAGGGTGGTGCGGTGATTTCTGTCACAGGCATGAGATAAAGTTAAGTCCAACGTGATGTGTATAAGGAGTTACTTCGTACATCACTCGGGCGCCAGTCTTGCACTGTTCTGGTTTTACGGAACCTCACGCAAGACTCCTGCAGCACGTCCTCGTCGTGCGTCACGGAAATCTCTCAAATGAGCATTAACAGAGCTGTCAGGGGATCTCAGAGTTTGGCGGCTGCCAGAGGTGTAGTGTCCTTTTGGCTCTCATCAGCCCGTCCCCAAGCGCATGGGTAAAAAAAGCTTATCAAAACTCATTAGGAACATGAGTAAAGTGCTTGCCAAAATGACAACCCTCGGTTAAAAGTGTTTGGAGTGAACAGTGGATCTGTTTTTCTTTTCTCCACAGTGGGGTCCTAGATCCCACCCAGGGAAAGTTTGGGTTGAGAACTCGTTGTTACCCACGTAAACATGTTAACATTTGCTGTTAAATGTTGGAATTATATGTGAATATTGTAACTGTCTTCTCTTTGACAGGTAATAGCATGTGTTCAGAGAATGTGCAAAATGGAGCTTGTCAACAGTGTGGCAGACGTCACACTTTTCATTTACTATCTGCTGATTCTACCTGCCAGTGTCAGAAATGTTCGTTTGTATTGTCTCTGCCAAGAAATCAGTTAAACACTGGAGCACACAACTTCTCTACATCAAACTGTTATACTTTCCGCAGAAATAGGATTAGATACTCAAAAAATAAGAGTCCGGATGGAAAGACACAAAAGGCCTGTAAGACAAATGCTTCGTCTGTTACCTGCTTGAAGGACAATGCAGCCGGGCAACTGTGTGAACCCATTGCACATGAAACTGTAGGCATAGCAAGACCTGCTTCAGCTCATTGTTTAGAAAAGTGTTCTTCTGTTCCACCCAGGCCAAAACCCAGATATCAGAACAACAAAAACATGCATTCTGAATTCTGTCATCAACATCCATCGGATCTGACTGGATTAGCTCAAAAGCAAAAGTTTTATAATAAGAGTAATGAGACTTCCAGAACCATTCAGAAGAATAGAAACTTCTGTCAGAATCGGTTATGTAGAGCTTTGACACCAGATTTCTCCAGCAGTTTGAGAGCCGATGGGAAAAGCAACATGAAGATATCTCTTGTGACTTGTGGTGAACACAGGCAGCTTAATTAGGTCCTTATTTACAACAAAGGGTGAAACCAATTTACCACCGGTGTTGTTATTTACATCCGTAAATGAAAGCAGCTTTCTGGCTTTATCTACGAGAATGGTTGATGCCAGCTCACAGTGTTCTCATTGACACCAGTTGTTGAAGTCAATTTACCATCTCTTGTATTGACAGTGGATAAATTGGCCTTATACACATAAAAAGTGAAAGAAGTTTATCAAATTTATTTACAACAGTGGGTGAAAACAAACAAGCCAGTTTTTAACTTCTAAACAATAGTTAGTAAGTTCATCTGAGCAGCATTAGCTGCAGCAATGAGCAAAACCATTTTACCGAAATTCGCATTTAAAATGTAGAAATTAGATGCCAAATAATGCCTCTATTGTACCACTTTTCGGTGTAGGCAGGGGGGTCTTTGAGCCTGAGGCTGCATGGCTAGTGCTGTCGCCACGACTGTACAAGTGAGGATTTTATTTTGTCAAGGATTGAACCTGGGTCTCACGCTGAGAGGCCAGCGTTTTAACGGTTTGGCCAGCCTCTTTTCATAGAAGTGAGATAACTGCAGTAAAGCTGTGAAAGTCTAAAAGAAAGCGGTCAGAAAAACATAGAAAGTATATGTTAGCTTTACAGAACACATTATTTACAACAGCAAATGAAACCAATTTTCTTATTTACAAAAAAAACTTACCAACCTTATTTACAAGAATAGTTGCAACCAACCTACCGGCTTTCTCTGTAGAAATAGATGAAGCAACATACCATCTTTATTTATTAAAAGGGTAA